CACATTACTATTATTATTTCTGTTACACTAAAAAATAATTTTACAAAAGAAAATAGGATGTATGAACATATTTTATATATAATTATACATGTTTATAAATATTTATATGTATTTATATATATTTATATATATGCTACATATTCATGCATAAAAAATTTTTTACCGGAAATCTGTAATTGCTTATAATGCTGGCAACTTGCTATAGATTTGTCTTCATCGATTTCGAGTATACTGATGTTATAAGAACAACCAGACAACAATGTGTATTGCCAGCAGTTTAACAGCAAGATAACTGTATCAATGTTATCGATAATATAACATTGTACGATGCTGCATATTATTAAGGCAACATGGTGGAGGTAGTATGAATTTTGATTGGCGATTTTAAATTTGTCGCCAAACTGCTGGCTTTGAGCAGTAACTTTGAGTTACTACTCAAAGTTATCATATCGTAAAAGCATCAAGTTACCAACAAATGAGGACAACTTAGTTGCTGCAATTCTGATAGCAACACATCTCTGGTGGAAAAATTTCATTATTTAAATTATTTCACGTTTTGGAACACTTTTCAGTAAAATTTCAGTATTTCAAAAAAATTTTAGTTTAATTTTAGCGTTAATTTTTAGCTAAAAAATTCATTTTTAGCAAAATTTCAGTAAAAATTTCAGAAAAATTTCAGCAAAATTTCAGAGAAATTTCAGATTTTTCAATATGTTAGATGAAAAATACACTTTTAATGAAATTTCAGCAAATTTTTAGCAATTTCACTGAAAGGTTCTAAAACGTAGAATAATTTCAGCGAAATTTTTTTACCAGGAATGCTTAGCAATGCATACTTAGCAAGCAATTTAATATGCTAGCAACAAGATACGTTACTATCTATGTAATTCCTTAATAAATTCTAATAAATTAATAGCATTTGGCAAAGATAAAAATTTTTAAACAATAATATATGAACATACATCTTTTATAAGGACCTCATCCTCGGCTGCTTCTTTAGCTTTAGATTCTGAAATTGCAAGATTAATTTAAAGCAGCGATTTGATTTATGCTCACAGTACTTACGTTACTACATGCAGAGATTCTCTCTGTTATATGTATGTTAGAAATCTTAGTATAATAAATTATAAAATTGATATATTATGGTTTCCTTTAAATTTTAACATTTACATAAACTTCTATAAGACTGTATAACCATCTTTAAGTATATATATATATA